GTCCTCAACAATTGTAGAGAGGCTTTCTGGTTGGGTACTCTGAAAAACCGAGACTTACAGGTAAGCCTGAAGTTTAGACCATCAGTTATGAACTTCTATGCCCATTCTTTGTGAGAGCATCAGAAGAAATATAAGAGAGGTCACCCATGCCCTGTTCTAATAAGACTGCTTTTAGCCAGGCCTGGTGGCACAGGCTTGTAACCCAACTACTTGGGATGCTGAGGCAGAAGGATCACAAGTTCAGGGTTTGCCCAGCTACAAAGTGAATTTAAGACTAGCCTGGGCAATTAGCAAAGCTGTCAACAAAATTAAAAGTAAATAGAAGAGGCCTGGCAATATAGCTCAGAAATAGAGTACTTATCTAGCTATTATGTGTAAGCAACTAGATGCAATCCTCATTAGTGGGGAAGAGAGACTATGGTTAACATTTCTGTGGTTATTTAAGATTATAAGACTGGAGAGACAGCTCAACAGTTAAGAGCACTGACTGGCTGCTCTTTCAGAGGGCTCAGGATCAATTTCCATCACTTACATGGTAGCTTACAACTGTATAACTCCAGTTCAGTGATCTAACTCCCTCTACAGGCCTGCATGGGCCTGCATTCATGTGGTACACAGACACATGCAGGTATAAAACTAACAGACACAAAAATAAAGGTGAAAACATTTCAAAAAAGTCACAAAACAACAAGAGGAAAAAAAAAAAAAAAAAAGAGCCAGCTCAACACAGCACTTTGTCTGTGCCAGAGGGATACTTAACTTATAAGCCTCACTGAGAGCAGATTTATAACATTTTCATATGTGGACGAACTTTGACCTTTTTTCCTAAAGTAGTCTGGTCTTATTACTAAAAATGCACTCCAGTTTTAACAAATGGTCATGTCTAGGGTCTTTGAGTTGTCAGATATCTGGAACCTGTTTGCAAGTGACATGCTTTGTAATTTCAGCATCACTCACTTTCAGGTTCTACATCCTCTGCATCCATGCACTAGCTGAGGGTTGTTTAACTTTGTACAACGTGTGTGCAGCTGTGAGTTTATATGCACCATATGTGTGTGGGATCATAGGAGGCCAATGGAGACTGTTGGATTCCCTAGAACTGGAATAATAGGCAGTTGTGAGCTACCATGTAGGTACTGAGAACTAAACCTGGTCCCATGTAAGAACAGTAAACACTCTTAACTGCCAAACCATCTCTCCACTCCCCACTAGCCGAGTTTTTTAATGCTACATGTGAAAATAAAATAGTGGTTTTCTTTCTTCAAATCAAACTTAAGAAGTCAGTTCTGTGTTTTCTTGGAGAACACTGAAGCTCAAGATGTAACTTTCACAGACTGTTTAGCACTGAGTTAGTGGAGCCAGGGTTTGAGTCCAGATAGTTCCTTAGTCTCTGCTTGGGTGCTCATGATTCATGGGTGCTACTTACAAACCTTGAGATATTAAGAAATATATTTTGGCAGATATTGGTCTCATTATGTAGCCCACACTAGCCACAAACTTTGATTCTCTTTTAAGTTCTGATTACAACTCTAGTCTTTGGGACAATTTTAGATCCATATTTGGCATTCATTAACTGAGAGTCACCAATACAAAATCTAGTATAACACTAGAATATAAAAAATGGACCTGGTATAAAATTTTGTGTTGGTTCCACAGGGATCTCAGAAACCTGGAATTGAACAGCATTTCCCTAAATGATAGATCAGAGGCTGATATGTTTTTGTTTTTATAATATTTTTCTTTTTTAAAAATGTATTTATTATGGATATAGTGTTCTGCTTACATGTATGCCTGCTAGCCAGAAGAGGGCACCAGATCTCATAGGTGGTTTTGAGCACCTTGTGGTTGCTGGGAATTGAACTCAAGACTTCTGGAAGAGCAGCCCTCTTAACCTCAGAGCCACCTACCCAGCCCAGTTGATATGTTTTGAACTGCTAGAATACTTCTTCTCTAATACGTAGAAACTCGGCCTTCCTCAAAACCATAAAGGTGCTCATTACGACCCCTGTTTCTTCTGCTGCTTCTGCATTCAGGGTGAAGAAATTGTTTCCCAGCATCTGTCTTCCCCAGAGAGCACTTCAGAAGACAGTGAGAGTGGCATGACATCCCACGTCTCCAGGGACAGAGCAACACAGGTCTGGTTTTGGTAGAACATTTTATTAAGTATTCTTCGTTAGCACAAAGTACAGGGTTTTGTCTGTATAATCTATTGTTAAATACTTCTGTGCCCATTTCCATTCCCTACTAAAAAAACTTATATGAATTCTTTGGGAACCATAGAATAGTTACATCACTGTGTTGAAAATTTGTTTGCAACTTAAGGGGCATTATAGCTCAGTGGTAGAGCATGTACCGAGCATGTACACGTTTGTGCATTCGGTCTTCTGTACCAAAACAAAGGTTTTTTTTTTTTTTCTTGCACTATGTAGTACCCTGTTTTGCATGATCTTGTATGTAAAAGAGTTCTACAAGAGAGAAAAGACCAGCATGTTCTGTGTTAAAATTATTTCAACCATTTCAACTTGGTTTTGCAATCCGGAGCCTGGAACTATGTAAGTCAGGCTAGCTTTGAATTCACAGAGATAGGCCTGCCTATGCCTCCCAAGTGCTGAGATTAAAGGCATGCACCACCACACCTGGCCATTTACCACTTTTTTTTTTTTTTTTAATGTGTATGTGTATTTTTTGTGCATGTTTTTCTTTGCATCTTGTGTGTGTGGTGCTTGTGGGTGCCACACACACACACCCATCCCCGGGAGTGAAATTAGAGTTGTGAGCCACCATGTAAGTGCTGGGAGTTGAACCTGGGTCCTCTGGAAGAACACTGATCCATCTCTTCAGCCCCTCACCCTTTTTTAACATACAAAATTGAAACGTGAAAGCAGAAGCCTAGAGTCAAGCTGCCACTATTGAGGAATAAAATATTACAGTTACTCAATTTCTGTGGACAGATGTTTTTGTGGATTTAATATATGCTAAATAAAAATGTGTGCATCAAGTTTTGTTGAGTTCTGGATGCCAGGCAGTTTAGCTAGAAGCTATGCACAAAAAGATCGTCTATTATGCAATCTGTAGGCCCTATTTTAGTCCTTGTAACAGACCTCTTCTTACTCTTACAAGGAATCCAAGGTAGTCAGCATGCTATGCTTCTAATACATGTCCTACTAGAGAGCAAGCCAGTGTCATGCTGGACTCCTGCTGAATATGCCAGGACTTGTAATAACCATTGCTTCATACACACAATCCATACACATATTTGCTTGTTTATTCCTTTGTGTATGCAGAGCCTTTCTATGTAGCCCAGGCTCTCTTTGGACTCAAAAACCTCCTGTGTTAGTCTCCTGAATCTTGGGACTGAGAGTTGTACCATACTAAGCCTTGCTCTATATTGAATCGATAGTGTCTTTGTTTCTGTGTTTTATTCCTGAAGAACAGCTGGAAAGCTCTGGCTTGTTTAAAGATTGTGCAGATTTGGTTCAGTTGTAAATAATTCAGTATCAAAATGACCTCTCAGGCCGGGCAGGAGAGGTACACACCTTTAATCATAGCACTAGAGAGGTAAAGACAGATGGATCTCTGTGAATTCGAGGCCAGTCTGGTCTATGTAGCAAGTTCTGAGCTAGATAGGGCTACACAGTAAGACCCTGTTTCAACAAAACAAAAACCTTTCTCTGTGGTCTTGGCTTATACTTCATGGCAAGAATTAAAGGGGAGCCAAGCACATGCCCTTAAATCCCAGCACTTGGGAGGCAAAAGGAGGTAGATTTCCTGAGTTTGAGAATAGCCAAGGGCTATATAATGAGACCCCATCTCAGAAAACAAATTTTAAAAAAGAGCTGAGCATGGCTGAATGTGCCTGTAATCCCAGCACTTGGGAGGTGGAGGAAGTTCACAAGCTCAAGGTCCTTCTTAGCAAAGTAATGAGTTGAGATGAGCTTGAACTATAGAGATCTTGTCTCAAAACAAAATGAAAACAAGAGGGGACTTCTGCTTTAGCTTACAAAGGTTTTTAAATTTTCATTGCTTTTACAGACGGATTTGGGTGGTTGGTGGTAGTACATGCCTTTAATCCCAGCACTCAGAAGACAGAAGTAAGCAGCTCTCTATGAATTGGAAGCCAGCCTGGTTTAAATAGTGAGCTCGAAGATAGCCAGGGCCCTGTGTTGAAAAAACAAACCAAAAAAAAAAAAAAAAGAATGAAAATGGTATAGTGTATATCTGTGTGTTGCAAGAATTGGCCTCGAGTACTTTTTCTTCTTCTTTATCCCTTAGGATGGGGAAGATGAAGCAAGTGATGGACAAAAGGACCAAGATAATGATGAAAGTGATGACAGCTCTGATTAGATCCCGGGACACAACTGCCCCTTCCTCATCGCTGGCAGCTTCTTACCCTTTTCTCTTTGGGGTTTGAAGTTTGATCTCTGCCTTTCCAACCATAGCATCCTGTTTTTCCTTAAGCAGTTTTTATTTAATTAACCAGTGGATTTCACAGATTGTCCAGCATCCAGGTCTCTGGCTCAAGATTCCAGTGTGTAGCATCCATCAGTGGTTTGGATAAATGTGGCCATGCTGCTTCTGCAGAGTAAATCCGTAAATGCTCTGGCTGACCTTTGGGGGCTAGTTTCGAAACTTGATTTATTTTAAAATTTAGTCTTATGATAACTTTGTAAATAAAATCTGAGTTTTGCGCCAGATACCTAATTCCTCACTTTAGATGTATCTCATTATTCAAGCATTAGGTGAGACTGAGTGAGCTTTGTACAATCATACCAGTGCCCTTAAAGCATTGTTTCCTTCCTGGGGGAATGACTTGACCTCGGTGTTAAGGACCAAAAAAGTCAAAAAGAACATTTTAACTACCTTTTAATTGGATTTTTGTTGGGTTTTTGTTTTGTTTTGTGACAGGGTCTCTCTATTGTGGTATTTGCTCTGTTGACCAGGAGGGTCTTGAACACGACTTTTGAATTTTTAAACATTTATTTTTGTATGTGTGTGGGGGACGTATGTGCTGTGGTGCACATGTGGAGATCAAAGGAAAAATGGTGGAAGTAGGTTCTCTCTTTCCACCATATGGGTTCCAGGGATCAAAATTCCAGACTTTTACCTGCTTAGCCACTTCATCAACTTGCTTTTAAATTTTTTTGGTTATTAGTATAAAACAAAGGAAGAAAAGACATCATCAAACATCTGCTGACACTGTATTATATATAGTATTTATTTCCACATTATTCTGAATTATGCCTAGAATCTAGTTGTAAGAATCATACAAAATAATTATAGTTTATTAGAAATAGAACATCTGGAGCTAAAATAGGGGATTCTCCTGTCTTCCGCCAGAAAGCCCAGTCTCAAAGCTGCTGTCAAGCTCTTCCTTGCCATGCTATTAAGATTGTTTAATATTTGTTATATTGTTACTCATATTGGTATTAAAGTTATGTTTTGTTGTTGACATTTGTTTGAAGAGGAAAAGCTTTTTTTTAAAATTAGTCCTTAACCCACATACAGATTTCTGACCCCTTCATCCTCTGGTACCCAGACATCCAACCATATATGTCTTTTCTTCACATCCCTTTTCTTTGCCAGCTCATCACTGGCATTGGCATTTGAGTGTGTTCACACTAGGCTGGCTTGTCTATATGATAGTTTAATCACTGTCACATGTGTGTCGTTAGGCTGACTTTTGAATGGCCATTCAGCTTTGTAGTGGAAATGTTCTTCCTTGCTCAGTGTCATTGGTTGGTCCTGTTTCTGAAGAGAAAGGGAGGATGGGAGCTTGTCACAGTGTGACTGAAAGGCAAAATATCTGGCGTGGTGTTACAGTTCATGTAGACAGGTCTTCGTAAGCTTTGGGTACATACCAGAGAGCATGGTATGGAGCACCGGGGCCTGATGGGGACCCTTTACTTGGAGTGCTGCAAGGCAAAGGTGCACTTCTTGTATGTCGCATACAGCAGGAGAATGGAGCGTAGCATCTGTTTGCACATAGTCACTGTCATCTGAATCTGAGGCTCCTTGAGTCCAGTGGGCCACTGGTGTTCCCTGCTGATAATTTTGCAGAAGGCTGACTTGTCTGAGACTCTGAAGGTTCCAGTCCACTTGGGTGGCTGGGCTGTGATGACCCTACCGAAAACAGAATCTACTCCATTGAGGCGGACTGGCTGGGGCTTCCTCACCAGTCCTTTCTTGTTATTCACTGCTCGGAGCTCTGATGTGTGACAGGGTAACTTGGGGCTCTCTCCAGGTGCCACAAGTGGGCTGTCTAGGACAAGAGTGACTTCTTGAAAGCACAACTGCACTTCAAGGTCAGAAGGGGTGTGTGGGAAGCAAGGAGAGGCCCTAAAAGGGTGTTTGGAGCAAGGGGTAGGTGTTGTGTGCCGAAGCCATTGGAAGCTCTCATCCAGTGGGGTCCATGGTGACCAGAGCTGGTATCCTGCCATTGATAGTCCTAAAGGAAAGGAATCAGACATGGAATTTCCCTGCTGTGCTTTGAGGGAGGGGAGAGGCGTGGCTGTGTAAATTCACATCTGTCTCATTTCTTACTTAAACTTAGTGGTTTCCACTGAACCGATGATACTGGTACGTGACAGGGGTCAATAGTTCTGTAAAGAGTAACAGATACTAAATGTGACAACTGCTGCACATACTGAAAACTTCCCCTGTAAGAAAGTTCACCCATTCTACAGATGATACGTATTTGTCTGAATGGAGTAGCTCAGTCAGTGCCTTTGGTGGGCACAAGTGGCTAGGCTTCATGATGAGACATTATTTTAATGGCAAGAAACTCAACCCATGTCTTAGAAGCGTTTGTAATTGGTACTTCTTCAGAGCTCTCAAAGTATAACCCTTGAACTAGCAGTTTTAACTTCATTATGTATTTGGTAGAAATGCAAGCTCTTGGGGTCCCATCTCAGACCTACTTAATTAGAAATGTGGGGTGGGACCCTGAAGTTTACATGTATGCAAACCCTCCAAATATTCTGTTGCACTTTGCAGTTTGCAGACTACCTACAGTGTGGCTTTTAAGCAACCTCCAATTTTCACTTTTCTTTCTGGAGACATCCAGGAAAAACACAGTACCTGGCTTGGTGACTTATGCCTATTATAATTTTGGAAGGAAGAGGTAGAAAATAGGAGGTAGGAGGATCATTACAAGTTGGAGGCCAGACTTTTACATAGTTCCAAGCCAGCCAGAGCTACATACATAGTGACAGATGGCTCAACAGTTCAGAGTACTTGCCACTATTTCAGGGGACCTGAATTTGGTTCCCAGCTCCCATGTCAGGCATCTTAAGAGCTGCCTGTAACTATAGATCCAGGGGATCCAACAGATGGATCTTCTATGTTCTACCAGAAACTGAACACACAAATAAACACATAATAAAAAAAATAAAATAAAACTCTGGCTGGAGAGATGGCTCATCGGTTAAGAGCAATGACTGCTCTTCCAGAGGTCCTGAGTTCAATTCCCAGCACCCACATGGTGGCTCACAGCCATCAATAATGAGATCTGGTGCCCTCGTGATTCCAGGACAGCCAAGGCAACATAAGCAGATCCAGGCTTTAAAAAAAAAAAAAAAAGACTTAGCAAAGAACCCAACCCCAAAACAAAAATATTGCTGGGACAGTCTCTTGGCCCTAAAAGCATTCTGATCAAGAGAACATTGCAGAGTACGGGGTGATTTACAAAGCACCTTGGAAGAGGTACATTCTATGAAGGAGAGTTTTCAGAGGCCAGCCTTAAAATTTGTTCATTTTCCCCCATATATATAGGCACATACATTTTCATGTGTAAGATACCCACAGGATAATACCTTGAATTGTCTTTAAGTGTTGGGTGGGTATTAACACAAAATTTACTTCAATTCTACATCCAAAGTGACAGTGTCTCCTAAATTCAAGAGAAACTATCATTTTTTAGCACCTTCCTCTTACTTGGAGGGTCTTTACAGGTCCCTTTTCTGTATAAATCCTATGTAATGATCCATTGCATCACTGGGGTCCTGCAGATAGGTCCTTTTTGTTTCCAGACAGTCTAAGTCTTTGTCCCTTCCTCTTTCTGCCACAAAAGACAACAGCAACACATCTTGTTCAGTAGTTACCATCACCAAAGGGCTGACACCTCTACAGTTCATTAAAAACAAAACTGCTGGGGCTGGAGAGATGGCTCAGAGGTTAGGAGCACTGATGGCTCTTCCAGAGGTCGTGAGTTCAATTCCCAGCAACCACATGGTGGCTCAAAGCCATCTGCAATGAGATCAGGTGCCCTTTTCTGGTGTGCAGATATACATGGAAGCAGAATGTTGTATACATAATAAATAAAATATTTTAAAAAAACTGTTAACATTATAAGTGTCCTTTGAAGTGATTAGGACAAAGTTAATTTGCTGATTTCCTCCAATTGATAGACGGTTCTCACGTCTATGCAGTGCCTTTGCAAGTTGCAAATATCTGAGCTGCATTAGGATGAGAAACTGACACCAAAGGACATATCTATTCCAAACTGCCTACGACAGGTGGCTAGTGTTGAATATCTTGGATTTAAGAGCATTTAGCCAATGCTTGTCATCTTAGCGCTTGAGAGGCTGAAGCAGTAAGATTGCTATGAATTAACAGATTTGTCTGAAAAAAAAAATCCAAGAGGGGCTTCTGGTATATATTAAATAAAATGGATCCATTTCTAGACCCCTCTCCTAAAAATAAAAATACAGGCAAAGGAAAAAGAGCTTCATCAAATCTCCAGCCTAAACCAAAGGAGATGAAAGGGCCTTGGACTCCAGGTCTTTACATTCCTTCTCATAAGGTTTAAATAAAAATGGTTCTGCCCCGGTTCCCGGCATAACAGGGAGTAACTTTAATCAATTGCGGGAGTGGGTATGAACCTGAGGAGTCTAAACAAGCTGCTGTACTAGCTCCACATAGGAAACACCTGGTGCCCCTGTCCAAAAGGCTTCCTTTTTATAGGCGTCTTCCTTCTAAGGAACCCGGATCCTCGATTTCCCCACCTGGGAAAGGGGAAGGTAGCGCCAAAGTGCAGCTGAAGTCCTCGTGAACCGTGAAAAGATCCCGAGCAACTGAAGTGCTAGAACAGGCTTGTCTCCCTGGAAGTCCCTCCCCCGGGGCGGGAGCCACACGTCCCTGCCCAAAGCCAGGGCAGCGATGGGAGCCCGGTCCCGGACCCACCATCACCATCCGGGACGGGAGCTCACCTACTGAACTCCACACGAATTGCACGCTCCAGAGCAGTGGCTGCATCTTTTCTCCACCTGGCGCCTGGCAACCGCCTTTGTGACTCAGGCCTACGGGGGCGGGGCAAGGGACTGGAGGCATCCTGGAGCCATCAGATGCAGGACAGCTCCAGTTCCGCCCCTTCAGTTCCTCCCGACCCAATTATAACTGTGCTTTTGACAAATGGACAGAGGACAAATTCCCCATGTCAAAGGCTCTGGTCAAGTAAGGACGTTCCAAGACCGGAAGTTAGTGTTAAAAGTTAGCCTTTATTCGTTATTCCCTGGCTCACACTATGCTCCAGTGTCTGGAAATTTTTATTATTGTATTGGAAGGGCTCCAGTGCAAACAGAATTATAAATGCTCACCTGTTAAGAGAAAAATACGTCTTAACTTTCTGACTGAAAACTTGTCTTCTTGAAATTCAAAATATTATTTTTAAGTTTATGTTTGTGTGGGTTTATGTGCAACATGTCTGTGCAGGAGACCTCAGTGCCAGAAGAAGGCCATCAGAAACTGGGTCCTTTGCAAGTACATAAAGTACTCTCAACACATGTTTCATCATTCCAAAAGTCAGTGCAGTGTGCAGCACGTCCACTAGCACAGATAGTGGGAAGCAGGAGTCACCCCTCCCCCAATTATTTCAGTCTCTCATAGTGTGCAAGTGCCTGGAGGCGGGATGGAACAGATGAATTAACAACTCACCTGCTCTTTTCTTAAACACAAAATTAGCCTTGCGGTTCCCTGACTGCAGAACTCATTGTTTAACAAAATAAATAAATAAATAAATAAAATAAAATTGTTGGACAAGCTGGCATTTTGGTACAGGCTTGTAATATCAGCACTCATGAGACTAAGACAGGAAGCCTGGCCTGAGTGTAAGACCAGCTGGAATACACAAAGCAGGACACAATGGGAAGAACACTTTAACCATAAAGATGCATTTTAAGGTAATGTTTGCTGAGACCCAGGGACTCAAGGATTGGTGTCAGGCAGAGATTCTGGGTTTGAAAGACCTACAGAATCTCGAGGCTTTTGTCCAGTACCCACTGTGTATACATGTACTTCCCGTTACAGAAGGGATAAACAAAAAAGATTTTGGATGGGAATCAGAAACCAGAGAGCAGAGAATGATGACACTTGGAAAAGAGGGAAGTACTTTTGAACAACTTTTTCTCAGTCTGTTTTTATCTTCCTTCTGATTAAGGGACACCTGCTAGGGGCTGGAGAGATGGCTCAGAGGTTATGAATACTGACTGCTCTTCCAGAGGACCTAGGTTCAATACCCAGTACCCACACAGCAGCTCACAACTGTCTGTAACTCCAGTTCCAGGGGACCTGACACTCACACACATGCAGGCAAAACACCAATGCACTTGGGAGGCAGAAGCAGGTGGATCTCTATGAGTTCAAGGCCAACCTGGTCTACAGAGTTGAGTTCCAGGACAGGCTCCAAATTTACAGAGAAACCCTGTCTTGAGAAACCATACACACACACACACACACACACACACACACACACACACACAGAGAGAGAGAGAGAGAGAGAGAGAGAGAGAGAGAGAGAGAGAGAGAGGGAGGGAGGGGAGAGAGAGAGAAAACTGCTATTTAAAAGGCAAATGAAGTGTTGTTACTGCACAGTATTGTTCTTTTAAATATGAAAGCGAAGATAGGATGTTTAGAATTGTTGGATAAAGAGGGATTCATACTGTTATGACAATCTGTACACAATCCTCTGTGTAGTCTGCCCAGATCTAAGGGACATGTTCTGAGAGGTACCATTTGCTATTATCTCCAACTGGTATCCAGTAAAATCAGAGTCTCCTTATATTAATCAATTGCAGTGAAATACCTGAGCCAGCCTTCTTACTTCTTAGGAAGAAGGAAACACACACACACACACACACACACACACACACACACACACACACACCCCACAAAACACTGGCCCTGGCAAATAGCAAGAGCATGTGTGAGGAGAAAGAAATTATCACATAGGACATAAGAAGCAGAAAGAACTGGGCTGGGCTAGGTTCAGGCTTTTGTAACATCTGGCTCTGGAGAATCCACTCCAGGAACTGGCATTCTAGGACTGGCATTCCCACCTGAAGATGCTGCCTCCAAGACATGCATAGGTAGAAATTTAAAATTATATTTTGGTGCCAGGTAGTCATGGTGCATGCCTTTAATCCAAGCACTTGGGAGGCAGAGGAAGAGTTCAAGGCTGGCCTGATCTACAGAGTGAATACCAGGACACCCAAGACTACACATGGAAGCCATGATAAATAAAAATTTATATTGTATTTTTCTTTACAGTGTAGCATGCTCTTTCATATCGACATGTATCTAATGGGCATTTAAATACTGCTTACTAAGACAGTGCCATGGGTTAGCAAAACCATTGTTTGGCTTCACATCAATTATTGAAAACATTACCTCAAAGTCCATGCTTATGGTTAAAGTGTTTTTCCCATTGTGTCTTGATGTGTATTTCAGCTGGCCTTACACTCAGGACAGGCCTTCTGTCTGAGTCTCTTTGAGTGCTGAGATTACAAGCATGCACCACAATGACCAGTTCATTCAATGATATTTTTCTTATTTATTTTTATTTTATGTGCATTGGGGTTTTGCCATGGGTGTCAGGTCCCCTAGAACTAGAAATACTGACAGTTGTGAGCCGCCAGGTGGGTGGTGGGAATTGAACCCGGGTCCTCTGGAGTGCTCTTAATCACTCAGCCATCTCTCCAGGCTCAACAATTAGGTGAAAAGAAAAGGTTTGAGATTGTTTTACACTCATTTTGGGGAGGCAGAATAGAGACAGGGTTTCTCTGTGTAGCTGTGGCTGTTCTGGAATTCACCCTGTAGACCAGGCTGGCCTTGAACTCATTCTTGAAAGGGGTAAACTAAACTCAAAGGCTTCGCTTCTAATAATTTAGAAATAAAGGGACCAGACCCTCACTCAGCCCCTGCTTTAGCAGCCATGACAGGCTACAGAAAAGACACATAGTCCTCTGACACAAGGAAACTCCAGATCCTCTGGTCTCCGGGAACCTAGAGCCAAAACTGAACACACAGAAACTCCAGACACCATCCCCTCCCCAGCCTCCTGGATACTTGGTTCCTGGAAACTGTTTGGCCAAAAGAGAAATTCTAGTGGAAACCAAAACCTCTCCTGTAGTCTCCAGGATACAGTTCTGAAAACTATTAGTATCTATGAACAACAGGTCACCTGCAAGTAACAAGACAAAGCCATAGAAACTACAGAATGTTCCCTCTCAGCACTGACCAATGAGAATAATTGGTACACAGGCATTTCATGCCAAAATATGACTTTGAGAAATTCTAATTGTTCCCAAATGTCAACCAATCAGAAACTAAGCGGTACCTACTGATGTAATCCTGTAATTTTTGTCTTTAAAACATAGCAGTAGAACTTCGCTCCCTCTGGGGACTACTGACTGCATCGGCTAGCCAGACTGGGTCCCTGTCATGGTTGGATAAACAATTAAAACCTTGCTTTTGCAGTTTGGTGCGTCTGTCTTCCTGGTGGTCTCTGGGGATCTTTGCGATTTGGGCACAACAATTCTGCCTCTGCCTTTCCAGTGTCGGGATTAAAGGCCTGCACCACCACCCTGCTTGTTTTCAGCGCTTGATACAATTGCATTAGCTTACACTGTGAGTAACTACAGCTGCGGGTCCATCACTGGGTATTAGCATTAAAAATATATTTTGCCCATTTGGTAACGTGAGGTAGCCTATCATACTGGGGTGCTGAAAGACACTTTAATTATGGAGATTCAGAGTCCATGGGATGTCTCAGCGAATAAAGGCACCTGCCACCAAGCCTCATGATATGAGTTTCACCCCACAAGGTGGAAGGTGTGGAATCCACTCCTCCAAGTTGTCCTAGGATTTCTAACCGAGTGACGTGTCACGTGGACGCCCACACACATACATCCACACGTACAAGAAATATGAATAACTTTAAAAAAAGAAAACAAGAAGTCTGGGCGTTGGTGGCGCACGCCTTTAATCCCAGCACTCGGGAGGCAGAGGCAGGAGGATCTCTGTGAGTTAGAGGCCAGCCTGGTCTACAGAGCGAGTGCCAGGATAGGCTCCAAAGCTACACAGAGAAACCGTGTCTCCAGAAACAAAAACAAAAACAAAAAAAGGAAACGAGAATGAACTGTAGGGAAGGCTGTAGTCAGCCCCTAAGTAGCGTGGCTACAGCTTCCCCTACAACGAACAGAGTTGTGACCCAAGTATGAAAAGCCCTTTTTTTTTTTTTTTTAAAGGAGATTCGCTAGGCGTAGTGGGCACGCCTTTAATGCCAAGCACTCCGGAGGCGGAGGCGGAGGCGGAGGCGGAGGCTCAGGCTCCAGCAGGGTTCGAGACCAGCCTGGTCTACAGAGTGAGCTCCAGGACAGCCAGAGCTACACAGAAAAAGGTCCTCTCGGAAAACCAACAAACCGGGGCTCGTGGGCTGGGCCCACGTCTGCTGACAAGGCGTCAAGAGAGCCCTGAGCAACCCAGGGCCGAGGCAGGGGCGTGTGGGCGCCCTGGAAGGACTAGGACCGCTAGTGATGGGCGTGGACGTGCGGCCGGGATACTTGTCGGTCTCCGCCTCACGAGGGTTTCTCCTTCTCCCCGGTGTGGAAACCGGGCAAGAGCGCAGGCAGGGCGAAGGGCGTTACTCTGCGCACGCGCGCCACTCGGGCCGGCTTTCTGGAGCTGGGAACACTCGCGTCCGGGATGGCGGCGCAGGCGCACTGGCGGCCTGTGGAGGTCGCGCCTGCGCAGTCGCTTTTCCTCAGGCGGCCGCCATGGCTGGACAAGAGGATCCGGTGCAGCGGGAGATCCACCAGGACTGGGCGAATCGAGAGTACATTGAGATCATCACCAGCAGCATCAAGAAAATCTCGGACTTTCTCAACTCTTTCGGTCAGCGGGCGAGCAGGGGAGGCTGGGAGGAGGGAGGCGTCGGTCGGAGGCGGCGGGCGGCGCCGAGGAGAGGCGGCTGCTGCCTTCCTCTTCCGCGCCCCGCTGGCCGCAGTCCTCTCACCCCGAGCTTCGCTAGGCGGTCTCCGTGGGTCTTCCCTGCCCATTGCCAGGCCCCGCTTGCGCGCGTCAGCACGCCCACTGCCCAGCCTCCCAGCCCCATCCATCAGCGTCCTGGTCTGCGCTGCGCCTCTTCGCCAGTCTGCACTTGGCCGGCAGTGCGCAGCCCTGTCACAGTCCCGGTTACAGTTAGAGACTCCTGATAGTTCCCCATCTCCTTCAGGATCAAGTCCGAAAACCCTTAGTGTCGTCCCTTCTACAGCTCCTCCTGCTCGACCATCTCTCCCTCCCCCCTCCGCGCGCGCCGTTCATTCCTTCCCGGGCTCCCTTTGGTGCTGGTGCAGAGGGCGGGCTGGGGGTCCTCTCCGGCCTTGGAAATGCCTTTTGTAGCCCTGTATCTGCTACCACAGTTGGTAGGTGTTCTGGATGCTTCTGTCTGGCTCCTCAGATCTACAGGGCAGAGATACTTTCAGCAGAGTCTACTTTTCCCCCAAATCATTCCTAGGTGTGGCCGACTGGTGACAGCCTTCATTTCTTTCTGAGTTTTGTTCCTAGCCTTCTGGACAGAAAACCTGTCACAGACGCCTCATGTTCTCGGGAAGTCTTCCTTCAGAGACTCTCTTACACAACGCGCAGATGGCACCTAGTGATCGTTTTCAGCTGGGACACTTTGGTTCTACCAATTAGCAATTTTCAGCTTTTTAGACTAAATGGGAGAGAGCGCTGAATTTTGAAAAAAAAAATAAAATGAATCGATTGTTTTGTAGCTAGAGAACTGATGAGGCCGAAGTAGTATGAAGGAAGTGACTGACCAACAGCTTGTGGGGTACAGCTCAGAGGTAGAGGCAGGCGGACCTCTGTGAGTTCGAGGCCAGCCTGGTTTGCAGAGTGAGTTCCAGGACAGGCTCCAGCAATACAGAGAAACCCTGTCTCAAAAAACCAAAAAAACTCAGAAAACCAAAAACTGCCTGGTAGTGACTCCAGGCATTGGGTCCTTAGTATCTTCAGGAAGGATAACAGCCATATAGGCCATTTCTTGTCACTCCTGAAAAATTGGAATCCCCAATCTATGTTGCTGCAGAAGCTCTAAATCAAATTTGTTCTCTATAAGGTGTGGTTTATTGACATTTGATGAAGACATCTCATCAGAGATTTCCTTGCTTATAAAGCAGGAAAAGGGACGTTTCTTGTTTGCAGATCTCAAACTCTTCACTCCTAAGACTCCCCCAAAGAACTAAAACCTGATTTCAAAAACAAGTCAAGAGCCAGGTGTATTGGCACTCACTATAATCCCAGAACTCAGAAGGCTGAGATAGGATTTCCAGCCTGGACTACATAGTGAGTTCCAATTTAGCCTGAAATATGTAAGGAAAGCTTTCTGGAAATAGAACAGGTAGAACCCCTCCACATACACTCTTCAACACCCTGAGGGTGGGGGAGACAGAAACAAAAAATGATCAAAAACCCAAGAGACAATTTGAGATAAAGTTAACATGAGTTTTTGTTGTGCTAAAGGCATATATGAAATAGTCTAGAGAGGAAAGTCAAGTGTAGTGGAGCATTTCAGTAATCCCAGTGCTTGGGAAGTAACAGGATTGTAGGCCAGCCCAGGCTACCTAGGGAAGTTCCTACCTAAAAAATAAATTTAAAGAGGGAATTGTCTGTTAGTATTGTCGGCAGTGATGCTGTGGACATACTAGCAAGCCCCCTGATAAGACCTGGCACTTTCAGGAAGTGGTGACAAAGTGTACTTAAGTGCAGGGTCCCGAGTTAATCCAGTTGCTGAATGCTTTCCTATTATTTTTGTTACAAATAGTGAATGCTGTGTGTAACCTAGGGCCTTAAGCGTGTGATGTGGAACTCTACCCTTGCCAGCCTATGAACCAAATTCTTGTTTATCTTCATGAGTATTCCAGAGCCTGTGCCTGGAGTTGGACGTTTTGTCTTTCTCAACAGTGTTGATCCATGTAGGCCAGTTCCAGAGTATCATTTGGGGTTCTGATTGATTTACCAGATTGACAGACCAGCACAGCTGTCCCTGCATCTCTCCTCCCATCATTTCTGTGTATCTCTTCTCATGGGAAATACAACTGTCAGGGTTACTACTTACTTGCTTTTGAGCTTCCAAACACCATACTAAATGGAAATCTGGGCCTATTGGATGGTTGTGACAGAAGTGGTAGAATTGAGATGGTGAAATGGCTCAGTGGGTTCCTTAACTGAGGGTGTTAAGCCTGATGACCTTAGTTCAGTATCCAGGATCTACATCGTTGAAGGAAAGAACCACTCCCAAAAGTTATGCTTTGATCTTGGCATATATATACACACACACACACAAACACATAAAATAAATTTTTGTAAAGTGGCAGTATTTCTAGGAAAAGTGAGGTTGCTAGGGTAGGCGTGGGTAAGCTAACCCTGGGGACTAGAGGAGGCAGATGGTGAGGTTTAAAAAGAAGGGGCCAGCAGGCATTGTGTTGCACATATGTAATCCTAGCAATCAGGAAGTGGAGGCCAGAGGATCAGAAGTTCAAGGTCATCTTCAGCTACATGGTGAGGTGTATAGGCCATGACTGACTACCTGAGACAAAAGGGGGGGGGGGATTAAAAAAGGAAGGAGAACCAAACATGGTGGTGGTACACTCCTCTGCTTCTAGCACTTGGGAGGCAGAATCGAGAGGAGTGCTGTAAATTCCAGGTAACGAGCTTCTGGCTAGTGAAGTTTACTACATAGAAAAACCTTGTCTCTGCAGAAAAAAATAACACAAAACTTTGGAGACACACAGAGCTAAGTGATAATGTTTTCAGTTAAGGCCCAAGACTCAGTCACTACCAAAGGAGAAAGGGAAATGACCAGTCATTTGGCCCAACAGTGGGTTCCAGGGATGGGGAAGCAGAATGGGGAATGTGAATAGTGAGTATAAAGTTTCCCTTGGAGACAATGAGATCACTGAAATGGTAATGGTTTCACAACTCTGCAAGTGAGCTGGTGGCCGTGACGGTGTACTTTATGCAGTGTGAGTTACATGGCAGGGAAACTTAAGTTTGAAAAACTATCATGAAGAGTAGTAATGAGAACGGGTGAGTAAGAAAGAATGCATGGAGACCAAAAGGAAAACATACAAAGAATTGGAGAGATTGGGTGGTGAGCAAATACTGAGGAGAAAGAACAAACCGTGGCACCAGTAGTCCCCTGGAAACCTGTACTTTATCACACCCTCCCTTGTTTGTGGTATTAATACAGAAGTACCAGAAATAAACATCCTTCTTTTACACACCACACACCTTTTTTCGTGTGTGTGTGTGTGTGTGTGTGTGTGTGTGTGTGTGTGTGAGTTCCAGGGTGCCACATGCACAAGAGAATCATCATTGCTCTGCCACCTTACTTATTTAACTGTTTATCCAACATGGGTAGAGTGACAGCCAGAGACCCAAGTATATGAGTAACTTAAGAATGAGAAGTTCATCCTTAAGAATTTGAATACATTCAGATAAAGGAAGAATGTGTTTTTCTGGTAAGACCACTCAGTGGCAACTTTCTAGCCAAGTTTTGGTGAAGAAGAATGGTGGTTAGATGGGCAAGATGATGATGACAGTCGAGCTGGATCAGAGTGTAGAAAGATTTGTCGAAGTGAATGCTTAAGTGCTTTTGCAGAGCCAGCCAGTGAGAGAAGGAAGGAAAGTTGTTAGCTCGCTGTTGAATCATCATGTGGGAGACTGTTCAGAGCCATCACAGCTATTTTAGTCCTAAAAAATAAAAGTTATTGAGATAGGAACATGGGTTGGAAGAGGTAGTAGGAAGTGGCCATCACATTTGCCTCCTTTCTCCTATGTTAAGGACTGTTGAGAAGAAAAGGATCTAATTAATGGCTTCAGATAGAGGAGCCAGCAGAGAAAAGGGTATTTTGGGGGAGCCTTGGTTGCATTCTGGGTGAGGTAGTGAAAAGGGAAGGGGAAAAGCCAGAGGAAACACTCAAGGCTGCTTTTCACAGATGGAATCTTGGTTCCTTTATGTGCTTGATGCTGATTGAATTTTCTCTAGTTCAAAAAGGCCTCTTTTTTTTGGTATTTGGATATTGTTGAAGCACAGTGTCTTTCAGAGGTAGGAACTGCATAGCTTCCAAGAGTGCAGAAGAAGAGACACTGTCTTTCAATTGCTTTGACAAAACACCATGATCAAAGCAACTTATAAAAGAAAGCATTTAATTTTGAGTTCACTTGGGACTCATGGTTCCAACGGATGAGAAGTCCATGACCATTATGGTGGGGAACATGGTGGCAGGCAGGCATGGCACTGGAGCATTTGATCCACAAGCACAAGGCAGAGCGAGAGGAGAGAGTGGGCAAACAAAGCTCACCCCCAGTCACACCTCTCCTCCAATGAGGCCATACCTCCTAATCCTTCCCGAACAGTTCCATCAACTGGGGACCAAGAATTCAAATATATGAGCCTATGGGGGCCATTCCCATTCAAACCACCACATTCTACTCCCTGACCCTCATCGACTTGTGGCCATTTCATAATGCAAAAATTCATTTAGTCTAACTTTAAAAATCTCCATAGCCAGACTGGAGAGATGGCTCAGCAGTTAAGAAGACTGACTGTTCTTCTAGAGGACCTGGGTTCAGTTCCCAGTACCCACATGGCAGCTCACAACTGTCTCTAACTCCAAGATCTGACACTCTCATCACAGACATACATGAAGGCAAAATACCAGTACGGATGAAATAAAAGTAAATTATTTTTTAGAAATCTCCATAGTCAGTGATGTGTAATGGCACATGCCTTTAATCCTAACACTCAAGAGGCAGAAGCAGGCAGGTCTCTGTGAATTTGGGGCCAGCCTGGTCTGTGTATAGAGTTCCAGGACAACCATGCCCGCATAGGTAGCCCATGTCTCAAAGAAAAAAAGAAATGTCTTCATAGTCTTTTACAGTCTCAGTATAGTTAAAAGTCCAAAGTCTCTTCTGAGACTCAAGGTAATCTCCTAATTGTAACCCCTATTAAAAAAAATCAAAAAGCAGATTACATCCTTCCAGCATATATTGGCACAGAATATGCATTATCATTCCAGCAGGGAGGAATAGTGGCATAGTAAGGAAATTCGGGACCAAGCAAGATGGAAACCCAGCAGGGCAAACACCAAATCCTGTATCCCTGGCATCGAAGGTCTTATATTGTTCTTCCCTTAACAGCTCTGCATGCTGCAACATACTTCTCTCTCAGACTGTTTCTCCTCCCTGTCTGCAGCTCTCTCTAGCAGATACCCCACGACTCTATCACATCCTAGGATCGCCACTGCAATCCAGGCTTCACTTTCACAACTGCACACAATGGCAGCTCTGAGCTACCACGCAAGGACTTCCTACCACACACCTGGCCTCAGCAGCTCTCCTCAATCGTGGAAGAAGATTCCATAACTCATTTTCTCATGTATCCTTTGTGATTCTATAGCCAGAACTACATGACCAATACTACCAAGTTCTGCTGCCTGTTGGGAATGGATCCTGGGCCCTACATTATTACGAACTTTGAGTTGCTGCCTCTTAGGAGCAGGAAATTCCTTACACCCTTTTCTTCCATAAGTTACAGGACTAGCTTGGTAGTTGCAGGACTAGCTTGGTAGAGTCTTGCCCTGAGAGTATTTATTCCCTTTATTCCATTTCTCATCAGGCTTCTTACCTCTTTCAGCACAAGCCTTGGCTCCAACACTAAATTTCCTAATGATCTTTTTCTCCACAAACTGTGTATTTTGTATTTCCTTTTGCCCTGCTTTTTCTTTTTCATTGTAGACCTGCAGAAGAGTAATTAGTAACCACACCGCCAAGTTGCTGTTAGGCTGTCTTGTAATCTCCTCTGCCAACGAAATCAGTCCAAAACTTTTCAATTTAACCTCAAGCAGATTTTTAGGACAAGGATTAAATCAGCCACATTCTTTGCAAAAACATCATGAGTGGTGTCTTCTACTCGAGGCACTGCTGTTTCCTTTGAAACGTCTTAAACTGGGCCTCCATAGTCTAGTGGTCATGCAGGCTCTTATTAGGATGCTTCAGTGCATGGAGCATCAAGGACTCATTAATTCCTGCCCACGGTGTTCAGCTGCTTTTCTATCTCAAAGTCTTCCACATGCCTCCAAAAAACATCATGGTCAGGCCTGTTGCTTGATAGATAACTCATTCCCTGAGACCAACTTGTATCTTTTCTTTTTTTTTTCTTTTTGTTGTTTTTCGAGACAGGGTTTCTCTGTGTACCTTTTGGAGCCTATCCTGGCGCTCGATCTGTAGACCAGTCTGGCCTCGAACTCACAGAGATCTGCCTGCCTCTGCCTCCCGAGTGCTGGGATTAAAGGCATGTGCCACCAACGCCCGGCCAACTTGTATCTTTTCAACTGCTGTGACAAAACACCGTGACCAAGGCCACTTATGAAAGAATTTATTTTGGGGCTCACAGTTCCAGAGGTTGAGTCTGTGGCCATCATGATGGGGAGCATCCTTCCTTCCTTCCTCTTTGGACTTTCTCCCCACACCCCCACCACCACTTCCTGCCCTTGTTTTCTGCTGTATCCTCTGGCCTTTCTCCCTCACTGCTGCAGTGCTGGGTGTTGAACTTGGAGTGATCTAGGACAAGCCTCCTCAACTGTAACCCTAGCCTAAAACAACACTCAGGTTTTGAATTTTGGTCTCTTTCCATGCTATCAATGTGTGGTGTCTGCGATGCCAGGGAACAGAGGCACTCAGCTCCCACTCAGCTCGTGGGCTCAAGAAACAGCTGGTGCTCTTCAGTGATGATTCAGTGCATAGCCCTAATTTAACTTCCAGTGGGTTTATTGAGACACACCCTTCCTTAGGTTGAAGAGCTTCTGTTTGGTCCCTTCTCTTGAAACTTAAGTTTGCTGCTTGACAAATGGCCATCTGTATATCCTTTGCATATTATTTTATGTTACTGATTTAACAATTTTCCATAAATTTAGCAACTTTATTTTGGTTTTTCAATACAAGGTTTTTTGTTTTTGTTTTTGTTTTGTTTTGTTTTGTTTTTCCAAGACAGGGTTTCTCTGTGGCTTTGGAGTCTGTCCTGGATCGATACAAGGTTTCTCTGTGTAACCCTAAAACCCATTCTGTAGACCAGGCTAGCCTCAAACTCTCAGAGATCCGCCTGCCTCTGCCTCCTGAGTGCTGGGATGTGGGAGCCTGTCTTCGTGGGGCTACAGTTGGAACCAGCCGAATTGCCCCTGGTTTACCTGCGAGGGGGAATGTGGATTGAGAAAGGGCAGATAAAGACTCCAAGAGAAAGACAGAAACATGGACAGAGTCTGGAGGGCAATTCAGTGAATACCGAGCACTCCAAGTTTATTCTTCACCATTCTTTTTTTTCAAGATTTATTTATTTATTATACATACAGTGTTCTGTCTGGATATATGCCTGCAGGCCAGAAGAGGGCACCAGATCTTTTTACAGATGGTTGTGAGCCACCATGTGGTTGCTGGGAATCGAACTTAGGACCTCTGGTAGAGCAGTCATCTCTCCAGCCCTTCTTCACCATTCTTAAATACTTTAACCAAAAAGGGGAACATGGTATCATTCATACAGAACAAACCAACATTCTTCCTCAATTCTCCAAGGATTCAGTAACCACACCTTAGATTCAATTTCCCATTATCTGACCTTGAGAGTCAGGAGTAACACACCACACCTCAAACCAAGTCTGTTGTTAATTAGATAAAACACCCAAGGCCAGGATCAAACATACTACTTGTAGACATACCTTAGACCTTTAGGTCTTATGAACTCTCTGACCTTGAGCCAAGATGAAGCAGAACCATCTTTTTTGGGCCCTGACACTGGGATTAAAGGAGTGTGCTACCACCTACCGGCTAAATTTAGCAACTTTTTAAAGTTGCATAAATTTAGGTTGAGACAGGAGGATCATTGTAAGTTCAAGACCAACCTTGACTACGAGGCAAGATACAGGGTCTCCCTTGGCTCTTTGCCATTTGTGGAACTCAGTTGTTGCATAGAATCTGGGTAGTTGATCCTAAAATACGTCTTGCCATATCCCCAGTCTCCATGTGTATTTGGAAGGATAAATTTCCTCTTGAGTCCAGATGGTTTGTGTGGGTGTGGGTGTTTGGAGTGACATTAATCCTGAACATCAGTCTCCTTTTACCAGATATGTCTTGTCGATCAAGACTCGCAACACTAAATGAGAAATTGACAGCTCTTGAACGGAGAATAGAGTACATTGAAGCAAGGGTGAGTATGGTCACAAGCTACCCCAGAGGGAATGCTCATTTCTTTTTACAACAGGCTTACAGAAGGTAATGCTCTGCCTGGATTTAGGTGTCTGGGACTCTGGAGCTGCTTTGCTACTATTTCGCACTGCATAGGATCCAAAATGGGATTTTTTATTTTTATTTTTATTTTTTAAATGGCTTTAGTCCCTTTGCATTTTATCTAAATGTCAGTTTTCCCTTCACAGGTGACAAAGGGTGAGACTCTCACCTAGAGCTGTGCCACGCTGCTGCTGGGAAGTCGCTGTACAGAACACTGGCCATGTGGGAAAGGCCCAGCAGCCTTCTGCGCCTCCCCCTCTCCTTCCAGAGCAACAGGGCTTTTTCTTGTTTTTCTTTTTTCAAAAGTGGCCTTTGGGCTCTGCCGTGTGCACCTGGGATGTGATGTGGCATGAGGAAGAAGTCCAGGGCACCTCTTGGAAACAGCATTAGGCATTTCCCCTTTTCAGTAACATTGTTTGGAACTATGTGTCAATGTGTTTGAGGTGTTCAGAGGCAAAGGCCGGGACTCTGTTAAGTCCTCCCCACCTCACTCTCTTTCTCAGACTTTCCCTACAGCTCCCATGGCCTCTGCACTGATTGTGTCAACAGTCTGTCTTCTCTGCGCCTATGACAGGAGGTGGGGGCAGTCCTGGCTGAGACTCTCGTGCTCTGCAGTGTGGTTGCCAGAAAATGTTGCTAACTCGCCAATTTCTTGTTCTGGGAGGTCAAAGCCAGGCCCCCAGTTGGCTTGAAGGGATATTTTCAGTTTTTTTTTTTTTTTTTTTTTTTTTTTTTTCTGTCACTTGGGGTATCCATGGCTCTCATGCTTCCCAAATAAACTCAACTTTACCTGACTGCTGTGATTGTGGTGGCACCAGGAGCTAAAGATGGCTTACTTTTCAGAGTGTGAGGTGTAGGAATGCTCTCTAATGGAAACCTGCAGATGTAGCTCTTTGATTCAAAGCTAGGCAGCTCTCCTGTCAGAGTGCTTGTGTCTGGACACTTGAACTCACTCGTCCTGGAATCATTTGGTCATTCAGCAGATACTACCAAGGATTTTTACTATAGAGGTGTGTTAGACTCCAATAAAAGATACAGTATTGAATCAGACCTGATGTTTATTATCTGTTGAAATACTAGCATCTTCTCAGTTTAACTGCACCCAGGGTAAACTACTGGTTTAAAAGCTACAAGCTAAGCATATTTCCTGTGAAAGCAAATGCTGAGGTTTGTGAGATGGCTCAACAGGTAGGGTGCTTGCCTCCAGACGTGAGCCCTGAGTTCTCTCCAGGACCCACATGGTGGAAGGAGAGAACCTACCCGTGCAGGTTATCTACCCTCTCATCTCCACATGTATACTGTGGCATTCCTGTACATGAGTGCACATGTACAACAATTAAAAACCATTTTCTCAAGTAAATACTGCAGTTTAAACTGAAGAATCAAAGACTTATACTTATTTCCAAAGCTTCCTATAAGCTTAGGCCAATCTACTGTTTAGGTGCAACTTTAATCCCTTTAGGACTTTCCCCCACAGAGGTCTCCCTCTTCAGGCCCTATTTGACATTCAAAGTCTAGCTTAGGTCAGAACTCCCCAGTTCTCCCAGATGAGCACATTCAGTACTGCCCTCTTTTTCAGGTTTCCCGGCTTGCTGCCCTCACACCACAGTTCATTCTGGATTAATTGGATCATTTCAGAGTATATGCAACCTGAAAAGTACCTGAGCCCCCCTTTCCTGGACTAACCCATCTGGATGCTTTGAGAAAGGCTGTTGCCATTGATACTGATAAAACAGACTAGAAGGGTACAAGCTGTGTTGTATTCATGTGTTTTCAGAAAACCCACATTGACCTTAGACATTTTTAGTAGTACTGGCTGAGTATCTTTGATCCAGTGTTCTCTAAAATCCAAAGCTTTCTCTATGGTAACATTACAAGTGAGCCTTTTCAAACCTGGTTTGTATGGTTGTTACCTGAGCTGTTATGGTCAGGGCCTGGGCCCTGGCAGCCCTGACAAGCTAGGTGTTACCCTGCCCTAATAAGCTAGTTAATTGATAGTGAAAAGTGAAAAGGGTTTGCTCAATGTGGCCACATTGGGAAGAGGAGCTGAAGGTCCAGTGGCATACCCTGCCCGATTCCATTTTTGGAATTGAGACATGAGGCTGGGTGTAGTGGTATACATATCTTAATTCCAGCACTCAGGAGGTAGAGGTTGGTGGATCTCTTGAGTTCCAGAACAGCCAAGGCTACACAGAAAGGACAAAAAGGTATACGTAAGAGTTACAGTTAAGGTATGGTTCCTACTGGTCATTCTGTTGGCTTTGGTCTCCTGCAAGGTGCTCTGACAAGCCACAATGCTGTGCTATTCCTAGGAGGCAAATTACCCTGCTGGATGACACCAGGACCCCCTCCTTTTCCTTTTCCCAGCATGGGATTTCTTGGGGAAACTTGAGTTCTTTGGAGTTCATTGCTCAAAGGGCAGGGACATGGTAAATTGCAGTCACAATAGGCAGCCTAAAAATCTGTATGAAGGAGCTGGGAAGATGCTCTTGGTAAAGTACATGCTGTGCAAACAAGGAGACCTGAGTTGGATTCCCAGCACACGCATAAAACCCAGGCATGGTGAGGTCCTATACTCCCAATGTGGAGGAGGCACAGGCAGGAGCATCCCTAGTAGAATCACAGCCTAGCAGAGTCAGCTGCAGGTTCAGTGAAAGGTCATCACAAAAAACAAGGTAGAGAACGAGAGGAAGATAACTAAGGTCTAGTCTGACCTGAACACATGCACATACACAAATACTGTAAATAACTTCAGGCTTTGGATAAGGTATATGAAATGTTTAAACCTGGGTCCCATCTGATCCCAGGCATTTTGCATAAGGGATCCTGAACCAGTGTTTTCCTTTAAAAATAGCATCTTATAATGGAGATAACTGATGTCCTCATGGGGTAAGCTCACTTTCCAGTATTGGATATGAGCTCATTGTAGAGTTCCTTTAGCAGACACTCAAGTCTGCATTTCCC